CCCCCCCGCCCCCCCCAAATCCTTCTTTTGTAACCAAGATTTCTTTTCATGTCTCCTGCCACCATTAGTAAAGGCCTGATTTTGCTGATATCGCTGTAACAGAGAGGCCAAATAAATAAACTCTGCTTATGCATGTCCTGAAAAAAGATGCCCAGGCTGACACTGTTAGACCATTGAAGAATTTGCTGAAATCAGTCAAATCCTCATGTGCTCTGAGCAGGGTGGGTGGCACCGCCTCTGTCACTGTTTAGAGAATGTCAGAAGCAGTAACTACTTCCAAGTCTGCCCCCAAGAGCCATCTTTGTGAGGAGTCATCATCTCTTCCGCTTCCTTAACTTCTCTGAAGCGCCTACGAGAGTCTGTTACAACATATACCCAAATATGAGTAATCTGTAGACAACAGAGAAAACAGGTTCAAATTTCCGCAGTCACAGCTGTGCAGGAACATATAGGGGAAAAAATACCTGTATTAAAACCAGGTAATTCAAGAGAAAACGGGGGGAGGAGGATTTCAAACTATTATCTGTTTCCATAATGTTTCTTAAGCATTACTTCTTTCAGATAGTTCAAATGATTTATAAACTTGACATCATTTTACAGTCCTTAGACCATGCACAAGTGGTAATGATTTCAAAAGAACATTATTTTAATTATTCCCAGAGAATAAATCCCTTTCAATAATATGATTCAGACTGCCACAATGATTCATGCTTAGTGACCTTTTTAACTTAAATAGCAAGTCTTTGGTCTAAACAAAAAGGCCCCCCCAAACTGTTTCATTCAGAATGTGTCTGTCTTTCTACTAGAAAGCTAGTGTTGCAGTGAGGTTACATCTTCTTTCTGCAGATTGGCTTCCAATTTACTGGAAGATTTCAATGCTCACTTCTCACATTAAAAAAAAATAAATTGCAGAAATAGCTAAACAATTTACTAGATGTAATGTCAGTCTAGTGTTAACAGCAGATTTGGCCCAAAATTGAGATATTCTTAGTAAACATGCAGGAGATGCACCTACCTCATTGCCTATTTCCTTATCTCTTTCCTGAATCACTTTTCTGACTATTTTTGTGTTGCTTTATAACATATTTGGTTGTCCATTGATTATTTTTTTCATCATCTCTAAAACTGAGAGCATCAAAAGGGAGACGTTAGAGTAAATTCAGTTAGAGTCAGGTTGCTGAGCTCATGTTGGTGGGTATAAAACCAGCGGAGACGATGACTGTGGTAAATAGGGCTGCAGGGCTGCGAGGGTAACCAGGCTCTGGAACAGGTTGTCTGGAGAGGCTGTAGAATGTCAGTCCTTGGAATATGCAAAAATTGATTGTACACGGCATACGTAGGGTCTTGGATATGGTGATGTTCAGAGGTCCTAATCTCCAAATAACCAGTTTTGTGTATGTATTAGTAATACCTCATTAGTAGTAATGAGATACTATATACTGGTAGGTCAGGGATCTTAAAAGTACCATTTTTTTTTTTGTCTGAAGTTAAACAAACTGAAAATTGCTTGCAAGGTACATGTATATTTTAAAAAAAAGGAGAGGAGACCTATTTCTTCATTTCAGTTTTATTTGCAAATCAGAGGCTACTTTGAATCTGAGATTATTGCCACATAGCTTCTCAGTTGTAACAAGTATTTATGCAATGCAGTGAGCCTGTCCTTTGGGTATTATTTTGGCAGTACTGATAATTAAGGTAAAACTTGCCAAATCTAGATGCCATCTTTACGGAGAAGATGCTTCTGTCTCCTTCCAAGGTGCTCCTTTCCCTCCTACTGAGTAAATAGGATGATGGTGACAAGTTACGTGTGAGTTCAACTCTGGGAAACAAGTGTGTTGCATGAAAAAAGGGAGAGGGGATATTGGATGGAAGTCTGGTGAGGAAGCAGGTAAGAGACTGAGACAAGCAAAAACCAGTCAGCACAGGGAAATGAAAATCCAAACAAAACCACAGAAAAATCCTTTTCCCTCCTCCCTAAATGTATTATCCTAAGGAAGTGAAACATGTATCTTAGGTGACAAGATAATGCATTACATTATTATGTATGTTGAAAAAACAGACAGAAATTACTGAGACTGTCACATAAAAAAAAAGAGAAAGGCAAAAAGTTACATCCTGGTACTTAAATGAGTTTGACCTTAATATTAAGTTTAAAAACACACACTGCTCCCTTTCCTACAAAGCCATGTCTTTGAGAAACATTGAGTTTAGAGATACATAGAGCTGCATCTTAAAATTCAAGTCGTGCTTCAAACAATACAATTCCTTGATCTGGCAAGAATGTTGGATAATCAGCTTAGTAATGCATTATTGAAATAGCTATTTAAGTAGCACTGTGTGTAAAAGTATTTAGAAAAGGGAGTGCTGCTTACCAGCCCCTCCCACGAGTGGGATATGCAGTGAGCATTCACCAGAATTTTTGGAGGTGGGCTCTGCACTCTTATTTTTCTTACCTTATGGGGGTCCTAATTGAGCTCCAGAGATGAGAGAGTCATAGAAGAAAGTAGAAAAGACATTTTGTCCAGTTCTCCTTATAACTACATCTTCAAAACGTTTAGAAACTGTCAAGCAGCCCAAGACACAGGTAGTATAGTTTGGTCCAGTTGACAATGGTATATTATTGTAGAGCTGCACCATTTCATGTCCTTTGACTGGGAATTTGAGATTCCATCTCAAAGGCAGGTGAGTGACCCTTGTTTCTATCTTAGGAAGTTTTCTCATAGACTAACTCTTATCCCAATCCATTGACTGAAACATCTTTTTTTTCCTGTTCATACCCAATTTGAATGTTAAGTAATAAATACCATGTTCTTCTGAAGGTTATCTTTAGTTCTCTCTGTCTTAAGAGCAAGACGGGAGAAGCAACAACTCCAATGGTTATATTAGGCAAGCAAACATGCAATGAGGGTGTAGTCAGGCATCCTTTAGGAGCTTCCAAGAAGTCTTGAAGCAGTTACTGCTCTGCTAGTCATCTCCATCTCTCGCCTTGGATGTTTTCCCTCAACTCTGCTAATGCTTTAAGGATTTAACCATCCGTTTCAGTGCAGATCAGCCAGGTTGGCTTAAATTGCTTTCAGTTTTGATCTTGATTAACCCAAATGAGTGTTTGATCAAACAGACTGAGATGACCCAGGAGTTGCAACTGGCAACCACTCCAGCAAGACCCTGAGGAGCATACCGGTCTCCACCTGACACATCCTAGTTATCTATTATAGACTCTGTGTTTCAGGGTCTTAAATGGTTTTGGCTTAATCAAAATACTTGGGTGTAACTTAGCATGAAATATATGCTAAAGTGGCACTTTTGATGATTGTCTCTCTGAAACAATCAACTAGTAAAACCTCTTTCCTGATGCTGTTTGCTATGGTTTGTCCTAAGTTTTATGGGCCTGCCTTGTCAACCCAAAATTTTAAAAGCAATCAGTGAATTTCTTACCTGATCCCCTCTTGTCAAATCTCTTTACATAGTTGCATCATGGGGGAGCCTCTTGACTAAGAGTAGGAATATAGGTTGTGAATTTTGCTGCAAATAGTTTGCTGCAAATAGTTTGCTAAGTGTTTCCTGTTCACCGCATAGACATTACTTTGCAGTCTGTGCTGAAAAGGTGGTTAAATATATTTTAGGTCTACTATTTGTAGATCCAGCATTAGTTTTGATTTCTATGCTGGACTAGATTCTGTTCCTTTCTAGAAGCGTTTGGCAAGTAATACGTCACTAATTTATAATTATGATAATTAATAATGCATGAATTATTCCAAAAGTACTTCCACTGCTGGTATGATTAGTATTTATATGTTCTTGTGTCATCCACAAATAGTGTATATTTCCAAAAAACTAAACAAGTCATAGTGACTGTGACAAGAAGCTAAAATATATTTAAGTGTGTAAAAATTAGAAAAGAGTTATAGTTTAATAACAGGCAATTGATGATATGCATAGCAAAGGTGTAAAGGCTTTTTGGCTGTATGGTGTTTGATACACCATCATACGGACATGGAGTCTGTGTTAGTGATTCCTGCAAGAAGATGAATGATTCCTATTAGTAGTACAGTTACCTGGAAGATGGTGGTGGAGTGGGAAATTGGTGTCTCTCAAATTCCCCTGCCTCTCCAGCAACTTCAGTCTGTTTGCTAGTCTCACATGCCTTATGCGTGATTCTTTCCCGTTTTCAATATACTGAAGATGTTAAGTTTTTATTATACTAAATCCTGTAATTAATTGAATAGCTTTATTCTTTTTTCTTTTTTTTTCTTTTCTTTTTAATTATAGATAGCCCCTGGAGTGAGTGTTTGTGCATAGTGCGTAGGGATCTCTGAGAAGCTTTTGAATCAAGACTGGGTTTTTCACTGTGTGCCTAGGGAAGCTTGAATGCATTCTTACAGAAAAGATAAATTTTCCTGATTTTTGGCTGACTGTGCTGCATGATTAAATAGCTGTTGACACTTGAGTTCTTTTTGGGATTGCCATTAAATCCTTCCAAAACGCTTCACAGTTCGTAAATTTATAGGGTGATGAAATAACCTACTTGGATGTGAGGACTCAGGCTGTCATCCCCTAGTAGAAATGTCTTCATGGCTGCTTTGTGTTGCTGCATATGCAT